GAAGTAAAACTGGCACTTGCACATTTTTTGTGTGTGTGTCCTGAAGTTCATAGTTTATGTCTTTGTGGTGAAAATCAGCAAATGTTATTATCTATTACCATACTGCCCAGCTTTGGCAGTAACTAAGAAAATGGTACCATATCTAGTATGCCTAATAGCCCTATAGTGAGCAATATTCATCCCTCATGCTTATCAGTGTTTACTTTTAACTCTAAGTTTGCAGATTAATACTCAAATGTAAGATTGCAAATTTGAAAATAAACCTTAAACTAGTGGAAAAAATCATACAAAGCCTACATTATTTAAGTTTTCAAAACTACAAGTGGACAAAACATTGCTATCTCAGTCTACTTGCACTTATTCCTAATAAACGGAATTATATGAAAGTATTCAATGATCAAATCTGGCTGTATAATACTTAAGGTGATCTTCTAAATGCATATTTCTAACTCCTACTGAGATCTGTTACATCTAAATCTGAAAGTAGAATCCAGGAATTTATATTTCTAAATCTCATTAGGTAATCCTTCTGAGGTTTGCTAGATATTTCCAAGTAGATCTGTTGAACCACTGAAGTAGGTCATTCTCAATAATGATGGCATGACGATGAGGCACTTGACTAAAACTGATCTGGCCAAAGTATTAGAAACAAACACAAGCTTTACTTTTCTACATTCTCAAGTCTTCCAAAATTTATGTAGTATATACAATAAGCACACACACACAACTAATTATTTTATAAAAGTTTCACAATATGGTAATAGCTATGATTCTCACTTAACAACAAATGTAATGAACTTCTTAATGTAAGGAAAGTAGGAACAGAGGGAGGGAGGAGACAAGCAGCAGGACGATATTTTGGTTTTAGGTGCTTGAATAAGGTGTGAGGAAGGAATTTTGCACACTATCTAAATATACTCTGGTAAGATGTTAATTGTAGATAATATCAGTTAATTGTAGATAATATCTTCATTCACCACCACAAAAATTCGGAATTTGTGTCCATAGCTGGGATCAGTACATCCTTTGAATAGGTTTTGGTCATGTTAATACAATTAATGTGCATATTAAATCAGTTCATTGTGACTTAATATATTCACATCAGGAGCCAGCCATAAAGCCATCATACAGGCTACAGAACGTGTGAAATTTTAACAAATTAGGACTCTTACTTGCATGATTTTCAGCTAGTTCTCATAGGCTTATAGAAACTTCTGAAATGATACATAATTTCTAGAGCTTGAAATCTGTCATGTAGGAACAGAAATAGTTAAGTTACAATATGGGGCTTCAACCTTGGACTTGAGTTTCTAGGTGTTGCTGACAAAGGTGTTTCACATGGTGAAAAGCCTGTTCAGAGTCAGTGTAATTATTCCAAAGGAACATTCAGAGATGTTACAGAGAGCGCTTGGAGTCAGATTGTACTCTGAGGGAGGCAGAGGGGTGAGATGCAGATGTGAGAAGTGAACAGTGGTCCACGCCTGGGACTCTGTGTGCTTGGATCAAGCAACAGCAGCCCCGTGGCCATGCTGTGTTCAGAAATGGAGGAAGGATGGTGTTTGTTTAGTGGAACCAGGCCTGATCAGATGGATGGCACAGTCTCCAGAGACAGCAGGATGGAAGGGTTGTTGTGTTCAAACTGTGTGACAAGATAGAAACATTCTATAGATGTTTTTTCTTTCTGCTCTAATAATCCGCAATGCCTTATCAAATCAAGGCCCAGGCAGACTTAAATAAACCTAGTTGATGATGGTCCTGCTCTCAAGCTCCTTCTTGGTTCTTCACAGCCTTAGATCTCCTCTGCAGTAGGCAGCAGTCTGATTTTCTACATAGCCCAGAGCCTGGTGGTTTTCCGAATACTCTGCAGTTTTGTCTTTTGTATATATCAAGTTAATTTTACTTTATTACTAAAATGCAGGAGAAGTTTTAAATCTAAAATCCTTGTTTCACTTGTGAGTGAACATTTCTTTAGGTTATTGTCTTATCCGGCTTTGTTTCTCTTGGAGAGGCATAAGTTTTCACACTTTCCCATTAGGACAGTTTCCTGATGCCATTGTGACAAGGAGTGTGACAGGAGAGCTAACATGTTTAAGCATGGAATCCACAGATCCTCTCTCCAGTCTCAGCGTTACAAGAGGCCACAGATGACTGGAGTCAACACACATTTGTGTTTCAAGGAATTTCAAAACAGTTTATGAAACAAGACTAATGTGGAGGTGGATTTTAAACAGGCCACATGTTACATACAAGTTATGTCTTCTTCATCTTCTCTATCTCAAATTGCACACCCTAGAGATCTAACTGTATTTTTGAGGCAGATTATTCTTTATGAGATTCAATGTTACTTATTTGTTAAGGCTCACAAAGGAGCTTCTGTAGAATATTTTAGGTAAATGAGATATTGATGTTGGTAAACAAGATTGGCAAATGACAGCATTCTATCCCTCAATATGGCCCAGTGTCCATGTGCAGTTTGGAATGGATAACTGGTTATAGAATTCCTTTTCAAATTCACTTTTTGAACACTGAAACATGGAGCTATATTTACTGAGTTATATTTCAAAGTGTTTCTTTTGGGGCAGATTAAAGCCAGTAAGCAAGTTTAATATCACTTGCTTTCTAGGAGGACAATGTGCAAATTCCTTTCTACCACACTAAAATGCACATGAAGGAGGCTAGTTAAAGAAGCAAATGCTGCTACATAGCTAAAACTGAAATTCCTAAAGTAGGGTTAGGTAGTATCACTGCAGCTAACATAAACAGTTTTTTCTATAGTACTTTGCAAACAAGCACAGCAATGACGGTTAGTAATCAAGTGTCATATTGGCAAAATGATAGCAAATTAGAGCACTGTTATGGATGATAGCTTCAAAAGCAGGCTGAGATTACAGGACATGAAAAGAGTGGTTTATAGCTGTGTATATAATATTATAATATTGATTCCTGGCATGTTTTTCATGGTAACATTTGTGACATTTAAATGACTATTACCTTTTCTAACAGAAATCCTAAACTAATACACGGTTCATGACTGTTCTGACAATTGGGAGTATACATACACTTCTCTCAAACCTCACACCAATTGCCAGATAATGGAAGGTATTTCCAATTAATCTTAAAATACATAGACATAGTTATGCTTGAATATGAGATAATAACAATATGTTTAGAATAATTGCTTAGACAAACAAAAGGCCAAGAAAAAGATTAGATGATTTTCGGAAGTCCATAACAGGCTTTTGTTTATAAGTCACATTAACAAAAACATTTCATTTTAATAAGTCATCATAATCTCTATATTATTGCACAGAATAAGCATAAATGACCTCAGTGAGCTTGGTTCTTGCTCATGTATCTGTGTTGCACTGAGCCCATCAGCATTTTAGCTCAAATATTTTCTAACATCAGTATGAAGAAAGTGCTCCCAGCCTGCTCTCGCCACACTGATTGCATGCTACCCCTGTCCCTTTGAAAATGGGCTAATAGCCGAGTCTGCTGAGAGATTTCCTCCGTGAAAAATTATTCCCATGAAAATATTCTGTTTTCAGTCCATATAGTCTCCCATGAATGCTCTGGTTTCCTCCCCCTAAATCCCTTTTTGAGGCTAAGAACAGTTATCTAGGAGTAGGGAAGAGAATGGCAAGCAAGAGTGTACAGAGCTGAGAGCCCAGGTCCTACCAACCCACTAGTGACCCCATAGACCCCAGGATGAGAATAGAACTTAAATTATAAACAGGTCATGACTGTAACAAATACCATGCATATAGACACATTTTCTACCCATACAGATAATGTCAAAACACTAATTGGGCTTCAAAGGCAATGGGTATTAGTCACATAATCCTTGAGTTATGTCATGCCCAAATCATTATGCAGCTAACAATCATGAACAGAAAAGAAACACATTGCATTCAGTAGACATGAGCTACCATAACTACACTTACTAAATTAAGAAAATGGCCACTCCAAGTTTTTAAGGAAACAATTAACTCCAGTTCACTGATAATAGAAATCAGGCTTTAGGTTTGATCAGATATGGGAAAAGTCTGGTCATACCATGCTGTTAATTCAGTTGGAGCTCATAATATTTTCATGCAGTGTTGATGGGAATTGATCTTTGTTTTAGCAGAACATAAGAAAGCCTGCTTATAACTACAGTGACTACTAGTTCTGAAGGTTAGACCTACTCTGGTAGTCTTGAGGGTGGTTCACTGATTTGAAAGCTACATCTTAAACTGGAACAACAGTGTTCATATATTTTCAAGTGCTAAGCTGAAAAGGGTCTCCTATGTTAATGCATTTCATTTGCAGTACTAGTTGTTAGAAGATGGCAAAATACTTTAATCTTGGTAAAAGATATGGTGGAAATTTCATTTCCCCTGGATGCCATGCTACATTGATAAGTTTAAACACATATTAAGGACAAAGCTTTCCCAGCATCTGAAATCCTTGGCTATATGTGATTTTAGCCCAAGCTCTCATCTATCTAAATAAGGAAAACTACATTAGATCAATAGTGTTACATAACATACCCACAACACAGTAGCAAGTTTTGCAAAAAATCTAATGTGTGAAATGTAATTACATAGAAGTAAGAGATGTATAAAAATAGATAATATCCCTAAAATATTTTGCTAAGTTACAATTCTTCCTGCTGGGAAGTTTACCACATTGCCACGATATATGTATGAAATGTCCGTTCAGAAAATGAAAATTAGAAAATATTTCTTGCCTACTAACTCATTAAATAGAGGAATATGTAATCAAACCTGGCTTTCAAAAGTGGTATAAATATATAGGGAGCATTATCTGAATGTGTGATGAATGAGAAAACGGGCAATCTATTTTGGTTGGTTTTGACAGGGTACCTATACTTTTAATGTAAAAATCAGTGTGCACGTGTGTGTGTGTGTGTGTGTGTGTGTGTGTGTGTGTGAGAGACCAAAGCACTCAGATGAATGGACAGACACATCCTGTTTTCCCCATGCTCCAGCCTTGTTATTGATAGGAGTCACTCCCTTTCCCTAGGATTATTGCCTGACTGCCAAATCCCACTGCTCATTCTCACCAAAGCAATGTAAGAGAATAGTCTCTCTCTCCACTCCGGTTCTGACCCAAGGTCTGGGCTTGTGCTTTTTGGGAGGAGTCTTTGATCCGTAGCAGGTCTCAGAGGCTTGTCTCCCGGAGGAACATGGTGCCAATGTTGTAGGAAACCTTTTTTATTCTCGATGAGGACAGCGAAGGCTTCGGTGGCTTGGGACCAGTCCTTACCTCCAGAAAGTAGCAGATTCCCGGGATTTCCTTTGGGAAGTTGTCAGGAAGCTCTTCACGGGAGCGAGGAATGAATGTAAAACTTTCCTCTCGCTTTAATAATCTAAAACAAAACATTGATAATATGAAACAGAGGCAGAGAAAAAAATGAGTTAACAAAGAGGAATTATAATGGCTGTGGAAGGTTGTCCACGATAGTGCTCATAGTAATACCTCTATTTCTTAGCACAGATGTGTACTTCCAAGCAGATGCTGTAACTCAAGAGCCCTTTGTGTTATAATAGGAAAATGACCAAAGCTGTTAGTTCCGCTGTTTCAACAAATGTTTTATGAAATCTGATTTCTTATAAGGGAAACTCCTAGAAATATTTGCTCAGATTTTACTTTTTTCCCCCGTAAACAAAGGACAAAGGAAATTGCATAATGCAGGCTATATGTCAAACATGTGGCTTCGTGTGTCTGTAAATCTCCCAAATTCCAGAGCATTGCTTTTATGCTTTGAAGACTCTTGATCAGCTTTAAATGTCCATCCTGTATGTGGGACACGTCAGTTCAGTAATTAGTCTTCAGAGTAATGATTTGTGATTCCCAGTGTCTGTAATATCTTGCTACTTATTAACAATCCACATTAGCCCAACTCAATAGGATTTATTAGTCAAAGTACTTTGTCCTTTCCTTCTTGTGGGAGATCATCTCTGGATTTCTTATCTTATGTGGTGGGACATAGGCACACAGCACACCATGTCCTGAGGGAAACCAGACAACAGTTTCAACTAACCAAAACCTTAACCTGGCCTGTTCACTGCTCATGCTGGCAAGAGTGGTGGGCTGCACCCCAGTCTCTTCTTTATCCTTGGACAAGCTGTGCTAGAACGTCCTTGATGAGACACTGAAAAGAGGTCAAATGCGATCTGCAGCCTACCTGCCAGCCGCATGTGGTGAATGTGAGCTGAGACACAGCTTCCAGCTATGTGTGTGGAATATGACCTAGGACATGGATGGAGGGGCCAGAGAGTTAGACGTTCTAGCCAGTTACAGGACTGTCAAGGAACACCCCTCTGCCTCCCCCTTTATCAATCTATATAAGTTGTGCTCACTTTACAATAAATGAACATGCTCTATCAGACTATCCCTGCTGGTTCTTGCGGCCAAAGAACACGAAGACATTCTGGTTACAAAACATTCTTTGGGAACACTAACACTTGAAGAAACTTATTAAATTTTTCCAGTCCCATGAGAGGTTTGGTTTGATACCCATTTGTAAAAATGTGCCTGAACTATTCAGCTTAACTCAACAAGTCTTAACGGATTTTTTTGTTATTGTCCATGGAAAACTCCTAGACTCTCTTGAGAATGTAATTGTTAGAACAAAATCTAAGAAGCTTGTGGGTTGTCAATAGATAGAATAAAAGCAAAGAATTCCTTTCAATAGAGAATCAAAAAGTATAATATAAAACAAATGAATTATTATAACAGTCCAGAAGTGAAAAACATGGTGTTTGGTTTCACAAAGCTTATACTGTTAAAATGTCGGAACTGCATAGAATTTTAATACTAGACATGAACAAATAAGAGGTAAGAAGTAAGAAAACAGAAAAAGAACATACTTTCAATCATTTGATAACATTATAGAGTGAAGTGAAGACACTTAGTCACACTTAATTAGAACACACTTAAAGCCATCAGTTAATAGTCAAAACTATTTGGAAGGCACTGTGAAATAAAGCTCATGTTTTCTGAAACAGTTCATTCTCTAAGGTAAATAAAGGTAGACGGAGCTTCAGGTGGTACTGTGAAGGACAAATGTGAGGGAAAGGAACTGTTGTAGCAATGATTGCAAGGAGAATAAAGGATGTGTGAAAATGTGCGATTATTGTGAAAGCAATTCACACTAAGAAGAAACTCTTTCCTTCTCAGATGTTCTTAACATGTGAGGAACTATCTTCGGACACAACAACTGCCAATAGTGATAACGGTCAGAATGTCAGCAGTGCCCTCCCTGTCTGAGTTCTGCCTCCGTAGCATCAACCAACCCTGGTGGGAATATTCAAAACATTGTCTGTATTAAACACAAATCGACTAACCACCGATTCCAAAACACTACATCATAATTATATGTAGGTAATGTTCATGTCACATTTATGGATTTTAGGTGGCATAGAATGGATTTTAGGTGGCATAGAATTTTAGGCAATACAGACACATTTATGGATTTTAGGTGGCATAGAATTTTAGGTAATACAGATTATGTCACTAGGTGTATGAAAATACAGTGCCACTTTTTACAGACCACTTGGGCACCCTCAGACATAGTGTCTGCAGAAAATTGTACCAAAATTCTCACGGGATATCTATAAATGACTATTTACCTGTACAAGCCAAGTTATAGGATTTTTCTGAACTACAGAAGAGCAGTTCTAATTCACTATTCCTATAAACATTATACAATGGCTATATTAATTTGGGGTTTAAGGAATTGAGGCTCCCTCCAGCATCTCAAGATGGTAATGGCAGTAGAACTAGAATCTAGATCTATTGACAACACTCAGTCAACACATCCCTATTATCAATGAGACTAAGACTGTCCTCTATCACAAAGCTAAACTGATATGAGTGAAGCTTTAATAACAGAACTCATCAGCATTGTTATGTTTTCATTTGCTTGGCTGCCAATTTTTCTTGCGTTTCTAAATTGATCAATTATTATATGTAAAAATACCCAAATACTTTTGTAGTTAATTTCAAAAGTATTTACCAAATTCTAGTAGACATCTATGTGAAACAAGCAGGTGCTAGTCAATGAAACATTCCCTTAGCACTTGTTTTATGCTAAAATCTTTCAGTGGAGCAAAGTAAGGGGAAATATACAAGAACAATATAGGTTTTTTTTTTTGACCAATACCCAGAAACAAATTCATAATATAAGTCAAGATGTCAGACCACATATGATTCAATGCAAAGGAAGATGCTATGTATGATAAAGGAGTATACAAGTTGAGAACCAGAGCAATAACATCCACTTTCATCAACAGTAACAGAGTAATAAACTAAACCTTTGCAAGAGTTTCTTTAAGACACCATAATCATTTTGGATGTGACATGAGCTACATTCTCCTTTCTATCTTTCACACTGTAAAATTCATTCCTTTATAGATTATTTACTTCAACACAGTTATTATGTTTTGCTACAGTTGCAAACTTCCCATAGTAAAAAATACTGGTGTTACATCAATGAAGTATTTATAAATGACAAAAAGAGGAGGGAATCCTTTGCTTCAGTTGCCTGAACTTTTGAATAATTCATTCTACTTTGGCTGGGAGGAAACTCTTCACAGCACATTGATCTCTGGACATTTTAATTAAATCTCATATACTGTGCTAGCAATCGGACAGCAGCTTTTATGGGATTTTTTGCAAATAAACATTTTGATATTAAAAAAATCAGTCTTCAATGTCAAGAATGAAAATGACCTCGTAACAGTACTTTCACTCAAGTCTTGAGTCCATTATTTAATAGCCTTTGTATCTATGAATGGTAAAGTACAATATTGGGGAATTTCCAATAGGACTGCCTAGATGATTCTCTAGGTTTCTGGACAAGGGCAGACAAGCATTTCACAAAGCATGCTTGATGATGATTCAAGTCATGGCACTGAGTAAAGGATCACTTGTGTGCACACAGTTTGGGAATGTAGACTCTGATCACTCAGTATCTCCAATCCCCTCACTCCCCAAAATGCATTATTAATTGCTAGTCCCTGGTCAGGCTCTACAGCTCTGCCTGTCTATCTTTTCAGTACCATGGGACTGATACAGAAGCTTAGATTCTATAGAAATCTAAATTAATCCCCAACTGTAGCTCCTAGCAGCTTTCAACCTGGGAGTCATGGTGACATGGAAGCCACACAAATTCTAGTTTGCTAACTTGGTTGTCACTTTTCCACTTCTCAAGCTGTACCAATAAACCAAAGTTCAAAATAAAAATCCACTGCTGCATTGGATCAACGGGTATCTTCTGAGCATGGCCACTGAGCTCCACGGAGCTGCTGGCTTGCAGCCACAGAAATGAGGCTGCCCACTGACTTGGCTCCTGTCTGCAGGATTATTCCCAAAATCTTCCTTGAGTTTACACTGTGTCTCCTAAATCCTTCCTTTAAAAGTACAAATGTTCTACATACCATTTACATTTTAATGTGATAATTTAAAATGGATCATAATAACAATCTCAAACATAGTATATGGGAATAGACTTTTCAAGAATACCCCATGTGATGGTGCAATCACGTACATGCGCACACACACACGTGCGTTTCCATGAACCTCTTGAGGATTTTAATGCTTACCTTTAAGTAACTTGTCTCTTACTTCCATTTTCTGGAAGCCTTTTGAAATACTCGTGTGGTTTTGTGTGCCAAGTATATCTTGGCATGAGTTAGGTCTTTGATTAAATTACACTTGCTCTGATTCTTGTCCTATACTTTGAAATTCCTAGTTTAGGAAATTATGGACAACTTGTTCTGTGCATTTCCTTTACTGCTTCAAGATTAAAGAATAATGAACAAGAAAACATTGGTATCTGTCTTTATGTCTTTTGAGTTCGACAATTGGCTATTCAAAAAGTGACTGCCAAGCACCCTTTGGGAGCTGGTGAACTGATGTTTTCCTGTATATGATCATATTTATAGGGGAGAAGACTGATAGATATTTCATTTCTTGCCAAAAATTGCTTTGCTTGAAGTGGTTAGTTATTGTAGTAACTGAGCTGACTCCATAGACACCTCCATGAACACAGCCAATCTTACTGACAGGAAATGATGCAGTTTCAAAAGCTTACTATTTGATAACAAATTTGAATTATGTGTGTTTCCTTGATCTTAAATCTGAGAATATTGCACTTTTTATGTGCTGTCATCTCATTTTTCATTCAAATATTCTCCATTGTTATTTGCTTGCTTCTTTTCATTCCTTTCATGTCCAAGGAATACACATATGACTAATATTTTTCCAAATCTTATCTATTTAAACGTGAGCCACTAAGCTTCATGAGAAGCTTTTTGTCTTAAATAGTTTGCCCTGACCACTTCATTAGGGTTTCTAAATACC